GTTTAGTCTCTCCAGCTCTCTCTGACTTTAATTGTATTCATAATAAAGTTATTGAGGGAAACATCAGATCATGAAAACACAAATCTTTCTAATAAATGAAGAAAGTTGTTTGTGGTCCTTTTGTTGTTCAGTCTACACTGAACATTTATTTAAACCAGATGTTGAATCAGAAAACGAATCAAATATAAAGTTTGAGTTTAATCTGTGATCGTCTTCACTGTTTACATGTTGAACAACATCTCATCAGTCCGATCGGCTGCAGCGTCCAATCACATGACTGATGAACAATGAGGGGGCGTGTCGGCCGTTAAAACACTTCCTGGAAGTCTGTTCTCATGGCTCCTCAGAGATCCCTCCTCTCTCCTCCATCCTCGCTCCTCAGAGCAGAAATAAGAGCTTTGGGACGGCCGTCTATATGGCGGCGCAGAACAACTTCAAAAAGCTCTTATTAGAGCCATATTGACGGCCGGAACAACTTTCGGTTCAAGCAAGGATCGAGGAAACGACAATTAAGAGACTTGAGATGTACCCCAGGAGGACTACAAGTGAGTGTGCGCGGACTCACCTGATCTTCCGCGCATTGATCCGATGACACGCTGCTCGGTCATCTCGCGCTCTGAGTCAACACAGTTTATTTGTAAACATTAAACACGTGGACAGAAACTAAAAAGTAAAGTTCAGGATTAAAAGAGAAACTAGACTCTCCTCTTCTCCTCTTCTCTGTGGATCTACGTTCATCTCCAGACCTCAGGTCTCCCACCTGTTCCAATCAGCCACTAAGACACGCCCCCTTTAGAAAACATAGCTTTGCAAGCAGGTAGGCCCCGCCCCCAGCCTGACAGCCGATATGTATATAAATATGTATATTTAAAAAAAATTATATGAAAATATATTTGAAACTATTATATATATATATAAATATTAAAAAAATATTTAAAAAACGCGAGACGTTTTTAATCCCGCGTGGACCGCCTGATGCCGGAAATGATGTTCTGCAAATAGTCCGATGCTTCCTGTATCCGCTGCCTGGCGCTACAGAACGCGTGCAAACATGCATCATGTAGCTCTGTGTCAAGTGTAAACCACATGGTGTAAAAGTCATGTAAATCTGATGGTGTTTGTCACAAAATCCAGATTTCCTTTCGCCAGCAGGTGGCGCTGTGAGTATTAGTGAAAATAATCTTGTAGACATCCTCAGGCCATGAGTGGTATCAAGCATGTGATGTTTGAGACCGTTTGGAACAAGTCCAGCTGAGTTACATCAGCTTTTTTCATGGGGAATCACGTAAAGTAGCCGCCCGCTACGGCTAAACCATTCTGTCAAACGTAAAGCTTTTGATAACTTTTAATCACAATGGTCTTGACATGGTACTGACAAAATTTAAAGTGGATCTGATGAAGTCCCTAGGAGGAGTTCGTTAAAGTATAGCGACTAGAAATAGGCCAAATTCTATGGAAAAATTACACAAAAATGAAATTTGCTGACTTGGTTTAGAGCATGGTCCCAAGAGACTTATTTTTAAGTCTCCATAGGATACATGTACCTCTCAAGTTTCATACATGTAGCTGAAACATAGTGCTGGGGCTGCTCTTTTGAAATATTGTAGGGGGCGCTATAGAGGCAATTTAAAACGGACGATTAAAAAAATCATCTACAATATTTCTTCCAATGACCTTTGACACATGTAAAAAGTTGCATCCATTTTTGAGCATCCCAAGTTAGTAAAACCATCAGCTTCGTTTTTCATGGCGAACGATGCGTCGCCACGGCAATAGCGTTCAACGAAAACGCACAATATTCTCGGCGATTTATCATCAATGTCTTAAGGCTATCCTTACCAAATTTGAGACTCGTCAGGTCACCTGGCTAGGAGGAATAAATAAAAGTATAAAATTTGACATTTCCTTTAGCCAGTAGACGGCGCTATGAGTTATTGAGGTTTTTTCAATTGAAATATGTTCAAGCTTGAAGTAGCATCATGCAGAAGAAGTTTTGTGCGGATTGGATAATGTACCTTGGAGTTATAACAACTTCTTTTTTCATAAACAATGAGGTAAAATGGCCGCCACGCCACGTCAAGGTTCTTCGATGAAAGCGCACGATTTTGATAACTTTTAATCACAAAGGTCTTAAGAGCATCCTGACCAAAAGAGAAGTTGATCGTTTAAAATGTGTAGGAGGAGTTCGTTAAAGTGTGAAGGCTGAAATCTGCAAAAAGTGACAAAAAGCACAACTTTGGCGTCGCCGGGCCGATTTGTAGGGGGCGCTAGAGAGCCATTTTTTTACGCAGAAAGATGCATCCTTTTTCATACGTCTATTTTCACCAGACCTGACAAGTTCCCAAAATGTGGTGAGTTTTCATACACGGCAAGTACCCCCAATATGCTCCCAAAGATCTAAAATAAGAATCAGAAGAATACCCCTTACAATATCAATAGGGCCTTCGCAGGCCCGACGTTGTCGGTTGCTCGGGCCCAAAATATATTTGAAACACATATATATATATTTAGCTTTGGGAAACACTGATCGATATTTTCACAATTTTCTGACATTTCTTAAACCAAAGAACTCGTCGATTAATCGAGAATAACCTGACGATGAATAATCGTTAGAATTCTGGATGATTGATGAAACATTTGTGATTTTGATCAGAACGCCTGTTTCAGACTCATTTACTGAGTCAATTCTGACATGAGAACATTTTTCTCTGATTTCAAACCAGTTCCATCAAACACAAACAAACATGTTTGAGATTGTTTTTAAAGTGGTTGAATGAAAAGTCAGAGACACAAATTCAGACCTCTGAGATATTTAAATTCACTTCCATATAAAAAGCACACAAACTGTACAGAAAGCAAACATTTACCTGACATCTCATTTAAAACAGCAGAATTCTGAAGAGAAAAAGATCTTCAGGAGTCCGACAGCCTCCTCAGTAGATACATACAGGTCGTATAAATAACAGGCGCACAGTGAACACATTAGGGAGGAATCCTCTTCAACCAACAGGGGGTCAAAGTTCATGAGTATAAATAATAAAAAGAAAATCCATCCCTCTGCCTCATTCACAGACTTCAGAAACAGGTCCAGCACCCTGTAACGCTTTGAGAACTAAACTATGACAAAGTGCACTCAACGGGATCAACAACATTCACATCTCATCATGGACCACAGACACCACCACGCTCCACGAAACCCACCAAACCACCGGAACTAATGCGTCTTAAAGATTCTGATTCTAACAAACAGACGAATAACACTTCACAGATATCACCAAACAGAGAGGTTCTCTCTCTCTCGTTACTCTCTTCTTTGATCGTCATCTTTAAATGTAATAAGTGAAATCTTTATTGAAACCTACTCTTCGTGAGTCGGTTAAAGGAAACAGCAGCTCTGGTGTTTTTCATGCTCTCCGTGTTTCTGAGTCAGCTGGCAACAAAAGCTTTCCTCACATATGTCTTTAGGCCCGCAGAAAGTTCTGTTTAAAGGCGAGGACGCTTCCCTTTCTGTCCCTGTTTACACGAAGCAAAAATGTATTTAAGGGAATTGTGGGCGTGTCCCTGT